AACAACAAACAGCGCACTTTCCGAACAAAACAGACTTATTAATTCCCAAAGTTCCTCATGTTAACTAAATTTCAGCATTCCTATTCAACATTAAAACACATAATTCATAATCAGGGAATCATCAAATCACAACGACAATTCAAAAATTGATTTATAGCCAAGACAGAACATGAATATCACCCAAAAATATAAAATAAAATCCTTAACAACAACTCTGACATTTAGCTTAAAGAAGAGGAAAAAAAAAAAAAACTTGAGTTATATGGGAATAACAATTTCAAACTATTTCTCACGCACACAAAATGATAAACAACAATTGAGGAGTACGTACACCTATAACAAGAGGTTTATTTCTTCAAAGTTCCAAATACAAAGTTCTTGTATCCCTCCCTTGTTTTCCATCTACAACTATCCATTTTTCTCTCAATTTTCTGAAAAATTTTCTCCGTCCCCTCTTTGCCCCCAAGACCCCCTTTATATACATGAAGAATCTAGAACTCAGACCCTTCATGCTAATTCTAAACATAATCCCAAATCCCTAAGTTACAGATAATAATCTAATCCTACTTGAAATTGAAATTCTGAAAACTTAGTTCTCCATGCATCCTTCTTCTTTAAAAACTAGATTCATATCACTCCTAAGTTTGAATCAATTTCGAAATCTTCTCCCCTTGTAACCCGCAATTCTTGAGCATCACTTCAAATTCGAAAAATTGATGCTATGATCTATTAGTAGATTTAGGGATAAGCCAAAAAGAATTTATGAGTTTTTGGAGAATGGATGGCGGCAAAGCAAAAGAAAGAAAAAGGGACCGTGAGTTTTGAAGGCTGGGGTTCGATTGAACCCTGGCGTTTATTTTAATTTAGCTCTCAAGAAAACAACATCGTTTTGCCAATTCTTCCTCTCAACCCTTCAAGTTTCATGCTTTTTACAAAATGGTCTATTAACTTCCAATATTATTATTCAGTCCCTGGTTAAGATTGGGGGGTTATGACAACAATTGCAACTATAACTCGAAATTTAAATTTTTTTAATATTCAACTAGGACTTAGCATCTGTTTGGTATAGCGGTTAAAATTCAACAGATAGCAGAAAGCGAGTAGTAGGTAGAGGATAGCGGTAGCGCGTAGCGCGTAGTGCATAGCGGGTAGCGAATAGCGGGAGGTGGCTAGCAGGAAGCGAGTGGCGGGCGGCAAGTGGCAGACGGCAAGTGGCGGATGGCAGGTGATAGTTAGCAGATAGCATGTGGTGGTTAACGGATAATGGATGATAGTGGTGGATAGTAGAAAGTGAATAGCGGATAGTAGATAGTGGATTCGATAAATATAATTGTTTGGTTATACAATAGTGAGCAGTTGTTTTTTAATATTAAATTACTAATAAAGATTAAAAGCAATTAAGAATATTTTTTTCTAAATATTTTTTTATTTTTTATTATTAAAAATATTAATTTTATAAAAATAATAATAAGAAAATAAATAAATAAAATTAATTATAATAATGTAATTACACCATCATTTTTGTTTTTAACAAAGAAAAAATTATATTATTTTTAAATAAAAAATTAATCATTTTATCTAATTAGCAAATTTTGTTTTTTAAGATAATATATTTTCTAATGATAAATTAATGCAAAAAATTAAAATATTATAATCACTTAATATTATTAAAGGTAAAAAAACAAAATTGAAACTTATTAGATAAATATTAATTAAAAAATATGATAAAAAATTTAAAAATTAAAATGGATAAATTTGTCAATAAAATTAAAAAATTCCAATCCGCTAGCAGTGTAATACAAAAAACTACCTAAACTAATTTTTTCAATCCACTAGTAATTTGGATCCTAACTATTATCCACTAGTCCTAAACTACTAAATAAAAATTTTTACCAAACATCTTGTTTGTAGCAGTTTCGAAATATTTAAGTTTATCAAATACTTATACTTAGTGATTTAGACAAAACCGTTAACCGCTACCTCAAAACCACTATACCAAATGAGCCTTTAAACTCTTAATAAATAAAAATAGTAAAAAACTTCTAAGACTGTTACTATATAAAAGACCTAATCCTAATAAAAGTAAACTAATAATAACTACACTCAAATAAAAATAATTATTTAAAAAATCTTAAATAATCTAAATAACTATTCAATAGCTTCTTCTTGTTCCTCATCACATGGTCTTCCATCAAACTGATTTAATTTGCTGATATGGAAGAAAAATTCTGGAATTGGCTTCTAAGCTTTGTCACTGCTTAGAGCTCCTCCCTTTTTTTTTTTGTTATTTTTGTTCAGTATAAAAAAGGTGAATTTATTAGCCAGGGTACTTCAACCCACAAAATTGTAAGTTAACATATGTTATATCTGACCACACCTATACAGCAATCACAAAACCAACAACTAGCGCCCGACAACATCCATTCCGTGCATTCATTGCAAATAGCTAGGGGATTATGACACAACTCACTAAAAAGGGTCCCTCAATGCCCTGACGTTTCCCTTTCATTCAATCCATTCCATTCCCTGCTTAGTGCGCTCTATCTCATTCATTTTCATTTTCTGATATAAATAAAAAGGAGTGGTTCACAAATATATATATATATATATATATATGTTCATGTTCAACCAAACACATTAGGATTTTGCATAAAAGAAAAGATAGACTAGTTTACCTAACACAGCACTAAAATTGCAATGTTAGCTTTACATTATTATTAAGGATATTTAAAAATTACTTTTTTTTTCCTTATACACATCTAATTCATATGTTATACGACTTAAATTTAGAATAATTTATTTTCACTAAAAAAAATTACTACTAAATTACTTGCATTGTTAGCCAATTACAATTTTTAAAATGAGCAGTGCTAGGGGCACTCACCTCCTGCACTCTCCGGCCAACACTTCCACTTTCATTGGGCCACGTAAGCTTGCTTCAGTGGTTTTGGAACGCAACCTCTTAAATCAAAATAACGTGGCCCAATCAAAATGAGAGTGTTGGCCGGAGAGTGCAAGAGGCGAGTGCCCCCTAGCATTGCTCTTTTTAAAATTACAATTAAGGAGGAATTGGGGTTCCATTGGAAGCGAGGATGCATGGGATGGGAGGCTTCCTCATTGTAAAATATCAGAGGAAGGTAAAGAAAGCTTGATGTTTATTTAACTAATATTTGCAAGTATATATATAGAGTAGTTTTGCCGTACACCCTAACATAAAAGGCAAATACATAAATTCATAAATCTAATATACAGATACACTCAATAATATATACACTTTAATGAGAAAGATTATATTCCTTAATATTGCCCCTGCACGATGGACGAGCCATTTTTGATTCCGATCTTAGACCTTAAGCGCTGAAAACGAGTGGAAGATAATGGTTTGGTCAAACCATCAACTAACTGATCATGAGAGCAAATGTGAGAGACATGAAGAAGCTGCTTGTCAACCAGATCACGAATGAAATGTAGATCGATGGCAATGTGTTTCATATGTGAATGAAGCACAGGATTCACACTGAGATAGGTGGCACTGACGTATCATAAAAGATACCAAGAGAAGCCAAAACAGGGACCCCTAGTTCCGAGAGCAAATTGCCAACCCATAGAAGTTCAAATGTAGTGGCAACTAAGGCGTGGTATTCTGCTTCTGTAGAGCTACATGCAACAGCCTTTGGCTTTGTGGCATGCCAAGAAATAGGATTAGACCCAAGAAAAACAATATAACCAATGGTAGAGACACAAGTAGCACGATCGCCAACCCAATCAGTATCCGAAAATGCATGCAGCAAAAGGGAAGACTGAGGGCACAAAAGCAGACTGTGACAAGAAGTACGTTTTAAGTAGCGCAACACATGCTTAGTGACCTGCCAGTGAGTATCTGTGGGACAATGCATAAACTGAGACAATCAGTTGACCACATAAGAGATATCGAGATGAGTAAGAGCCAAGTATTGAAGAAAACCAACCACTTGTCGATAATCAGTGCCATCAGAGAAGGCCATGCTAATAGAATTGAGAGAGGATGCAGCAAAAGCCATAGGTGTAGAGATGGGCTTAACATCAGCCATTCCAGTTTTGTGCAGGAGATCTAAGATGTGCCTTTGTTGGGATAAAAATAAGCTACACCAAGGAAATAGCTAAGAGGGCTGAGTTCTTTGAGAGAAAAACGACTGCCCATGCTCTGAACCAAGCGTTGGATGGCAGGAAGACCATTACCAGTGAGAATGATATCATCCACATAGACCAAAAAATAGATCACAGTAGAATCCTTGTAAAGAATAAACAATGAGGTATCAAATTTAGAATTATGAAAGCCCTCAGATAGAAGAAATGCCTTAAGCTCCTTGTACCATGCCCGTGGAGCTTGTTTAAGCCCATAAATTGACTTCCGAAGCCTACAAACATGAGTAGGTTTGTTCGGATCTACAAAGCCCACAGGTTGTTGCATAAACAATTCCTCATCAATTTTACCATGAAGAAAAACAATTTTCCAAGGGTGATATAGAAGACAAAACTGGTGTAGGAAGACAGTTAATCAAGTATACTGTTGTTTGAGAAGCAAAAGACCAAAATTTATGAGGTAAAGAAGCAGTGTGTAAAAGTTTAAGTCCAGTTTTGACAATATGACGATTACGACGTTCAAAAATTCCATTTAGTTCAGGGTGTATGGCAAGTTAGTAAAATTAGAAATTCCATTGTGAGAAAGAAAATCTCGTAAGGCCATATATTCACGTCCTTCATCAGAGTGGAAGTTCTTGATTTTATGTCCAAATTGAGTTTCAACAAGTCTTTTAAAACGAGGGAAAATCAAGGCAACCTCAGACTTTCGTTTTAATGGGTATATCCTAATATATCGATTGAAATAATCAATGAACAAGACAAAATATGTGTGCCATCATGGGAAGTGAGTGGGGCAGGTCCCCACACATCAGAGTAAATATGCTCAAGAGGAAGATTGCATGTAATAGATGAATTTGAAAAAGAAAGTTTATGACTTTTGGAACAAGCATAAGAGTCACATAAGGAAAAATCACTTTTATTAGAAATTGGAATATTGAAAACATTAATAATAGATTTTAGGGTCTTCACTAAAGGATGACCTAAGCAGGTATGCCAGTTCGCCAAAGAGACGTTCTCCAATTAGTGCAATAGGCCTAGAATTAATTTTTCCTTGGAGTTGGTAGACTCCATGCTTGTTTTGACCATGCACCAATGTCGCCCCTGTGCACTGATCCTTCACCAAAAAGAAATCATGATGAAATTCAACATAAGCATTTTGTTGATTTGCATACTTGAGAGATAGAGATTATGTTTCGAGAAGCATGAGGAACACATAAAATATTTTTCAAAGGTATAGAAGTAAAAGGAGTGGAAAAGGTGGCATGTCCCACATGAATAATTTGCAAACCTGTGCCATCTCCAATTTGGAGTTCATCTGGACCATGATATTCAAAATGCAGTGAAAGGTTCGCCAAATCTGTGGTCACATGGTTCGTTGCTCCAAAATCCAAATACTACTCATCGTTGTTTCTAATGGAGGAAGTGGCAACATTAGTAATAGGGGCCTATTGCTGCATTCTATAGAAGGGACAGTCGTGGGCAAAGTGGCCTAAGTTGTTGCATAAGTGGCAGGCCATTGTAGTGGGTCTATTATTTGGCCTATTAGAGCGTCTCCTATGGTAGTGAAGTGATGAGCTAAATTTATATACATATTAATAGGGAATTTTTACTTTGATATTATTGATATTTGGATGAATTTTATGGGATTTTATTTGATTTTACATGGTTTTCATTCTTTGTGTAGGAAAGG